ATGTCCTACCCCAAGCTACTACGGGGCGGGGCGGGTAATACCCGCGCGTGTATGGGATGGGGCGGGTCGACCCACTCTTATATGTTATACAAAAAAAAAAAAAGGGTTAATTGCATGGTTGGTCACTGAGATTACAAAAAACGTTCAATTTTGGTCACTCGAAATATTTAAATCCATTGGTGGTACTTCAGTTTACTGAAATCGTTCACGTTTGGTCACTCTCCGTCCAACTCCGTTAACTTTTGCTGATGTGGCAGTCAACTCTCAAAGTTGACCATTAACTTAGTGACGTGGCAACTAAAAAATTATTAAAAATAAAAAAATAAATTATTATATATTCCACCTCATTATTACATTCATTAAAAAATAAAATATTATATTTCCCTCAACCCATTTTCACCAAAAGTCAATATCTTCCCGTAACATCAGAAAGAAACCAAAGAAAATCCCACCGGAAAAAAGGCCATGAAATCCGCCACCGCTTCCTCTTCCTTCTCCTTTCTCCGATCCGTCTTCCCCACCACCTCCGGAACGGTCATCATGGAGCCAATCAAGGACGCGGTGGTGGTGGACGCATCCGTCGACCTGTCCTCGTACTGGGAGTTCATCAACGCCTCCGATGCCGATTCCAGCGACGAGAACAGATTCGTCTCCTTGCACGACTCGTCCGCGCCTCCATCTCTTCCTGGGCTTGTGATCGCCGCCGCTGCTGCTCCTAATCGGTTGAAAAAGACGATCAAGAAGAAGGAGCGGTGGGTGGTGGCGTGATCGTCGCTGCTACCGGGGATCTGGGTCGGCCTTTTGTGGAGAGGCGGGTTTATGATTTGCACGCCGGTCGATTGTACGCAGAGGAAGAGGTGGAAGAGGGGGAAGTAGAGGAGGAGGAGTACGACGAGCTTGGCCGTTGGCGACGAACTCAGACATATTGACTTGCTTCCCTAAGCGCTTCTATCAGTAAATCTACCTCAACCGTCTTTTTTAATGATTCCTCTGCATTTTGATCGACTGAACATACCAAAGTTCTCCAATTTTACACAATCCGTGTTCCATAACTTAATGAACAGTATAGTTCAGTTCATCAAGAGCAAGAACCACCAAACTGCCAAACTTAACAAAGTACATGATGATGCTTCAAACCACTTTGGTAGCTGGCTTATCGGCAGACCAGATAGAGAGCGCACTAGAACGAACTAAGAAACAAACTACAGCGTGTGCATCGCCGGACTTCATTGAAGTTTAGGTTTCCCCCTTCTGTTTTAGTTTGCAGGAAGCCTGCTCCAGCGCGCGAGCGGTGGGAGTGGTTGGGAGAGATGGTGATGACGATCCATCCTCGTTGGTGAAGAGATGGTGGTGGTGGTGGTCCTCTGTTTCCGGGTCGGTCCGCTCGAACCCAATCTCCGGAGCTGGGGAGAAGTGATTGTTTGATTTGAAGTAGGGGTGTCAGTCGGTCGGTTTCGGTTTAACCAAAAACCGATTTTCCGGTTATCGGTTAAACCGAGCTGTTCCTTATGCATGCCGACCACCGACCGACAAGGATGTCACGGTTAGCCGATAACCGACCAATCGGTTTTCGGTTTTGGTTCGGTCATCCACAAATAACCGAGTTTATTGAGAAAAAGAAGAAGAAAAAAACTACCCCACCACCGACCCACGTTCTCTGCTCTCTTGTCAGTTGTGACAAGCAATAAAAAATTTAAAAGAAAGGAGAAGAACCACCCACCCACGTTCTCTTCTTCTTCTCTTTTCTGCTCTCTTCCCACACCACACCTTTCTTATCTTCTTCTTCTTCTTCCCTCCTCCCTTTTTCCCCAAGAAGGCAAGAATAATAAAAGCAAAACCAGAAAACCAGCCTTCTCCTCTCCCCTCTCTGCCACTGCCCACTGCTATCCTCCAAACCCGTTCTTCTTCCTCTCTCCGCTCTCTACCTCTATGAACGACGACGAGGAGCAACAACAGCGGCGATCGGCGGGAAGAGAAAGCCTGAGATGGACGAATCGTTGCCTGAGGCAGAGGCGACGATGGTGGTGAAGTGGAAGAACGGGGGCGACGAAGGCCGACGATATGGTCTCGGAAGAGGAGGGCATTCTGGAGAGGAGAGGCGCCGCGCGTGGTGAATGGAAGGGAAGGGAAGGTTTTTGATTTGGGAATTAGGGTTTTTCTATAAGATTGGGAAAAGGAGGAGTCAGGTTGGTTGGGGGAAATTGGATTTTCGGATGGAGGTCGGTTTGCTCCGGTTACTCGGGTAACCGCGGTTAACTCCCTCCGGTTACTCGGCTAACCGCGGTCAATCCCTCCCCCTTCGAACACCGACCGACCCTTATTTCCCATCGGTTTTCGGTTAGCCGCTAACCGGCGATTTCGGTTGAACCGACCGGTTAGCCGCTAACCGAAAACCGAACTGCCACCCCTAATTTGAAGAGAGAGGAGGCACGCTCCAGTGCGCGTGCGGTGGGAGTTGATGGGTGGAACGACGGTCCGTCGTCGTTGAAGTGGTGGTGGTTGGTCTGGTGGTAGTCGTGGTGGTGGACGGAGGCATGGGGAGCTAGGGTGCTTGTTGTTGTTCTTGCTGGAGGTGATGGCGATGGCGGGCGGCGGCGATGGTGAGGTTGAGGAAGAGGAAGAGAGAGGTCGGCATCGGATACGCCACTTTCAATTTTATAATTATAATAATTTTGTATTTTATTTTATTTATTTATTTTAGGGTAAAAATGAGTTGAACATTAAAATAAATTAAATTAAATTTTATTTATTATTTCTTAATTGCCACGTCACTGAGTTAACGGTCAACTTTGAGAGTTGACTGCCACATCAGCCAAAGTTAACGGAGTTGGATGGAGAGTGACCAAACGTGAACAGTTTCTGTAAACTGAAGTACCACCAATGGATTTAAATATTTAGAGTGACCAAAGTTGAACGTTTTTTGTAATCTTAGTGACCAACCATGCAATTAACCCAAAAAAAAACACACGCAAAAGTTTACTTTTAACAATAAAAGGAAGGAAAAAAATTTATAAATGAAAAGTAGTGATAATAGAACATGTAATTAAGTCTAACTAGTTGAAAGATCGAGTCTAACTAGTTGAATAAAAGTCAAAATATGAGAAATATGAATAGATATTGTAAGTATTTGAGGTAAAATGAGCCAAAAACAGGGCGGATCGAAAGTAGATACTTATGCCTTGCCCCACCCTACTAAGGGTCGAGTAATACCCACCCCATCACAGGTCAAATCGGGTAATACCCGCTGGGCGGGTTCAAATTGCCATCATTACTATTACCGAAACTTTCGCATTTATTTTAATGCCAATAAACTACAACAATATTTTATTTCTATCTAATCCCATCACTCAAAGTACTGACTTCACAAGTCCAAATCAATATCGTACAAAGTACAAACTGAACCGTTGTGCACTGAAGTAAAAGGAGGACTGAACCTGTAACCTTAAGAAAAGTTTAGTACTTTCCCATAGGGCTGGCAACCGGTCGGTTTCGGTTTAACCGAAAATCGAATTCTCGGTTTTCGGTTAAATCGAGACCTGCCCAGTTTGCTACCGTCCACCGACCGACCTCAGAGCCCCGGTTAGCCGCAAACCGACCGGGCGGTTTCGGTTCAGGGACGGTTTAACCGGGGCAACCGACAGATTGATGTTCGGTTAAATTGCAAACGAAAGAACCATAGGGATCTTCTCCTCCTTTGACCTCTTCTTTTTCTTCTGCTTCCTCGTCCCTTTTCTCCACCCACAGAGCTTCTTTCTTCTTCTTCTTCTTCTTCTTCTTCTTCTTCTTCTTCTTCTTCTTCTTCTTCTCCTCTGTCCCCGATACCAGAAACCGCCGTGTGCAAGAAGAGCACTTTCCCTACTAAAATACAATCGAGAGAGACCCACCGCTCACAAATTTCAGATAACTATAAACAGAGGAAGGCTCGATTTTGGTCTCCCTCTCCATCTCTTCTCGGCCCTTCTCTTCCCTTTTCTTTTCCTTTTCTGTAGACACCATTGATGGCCCTTTTTGCTTTCCAGTTTCATTTTCTGGAACCGAAACATGCATGTGGGTTTTCTTTTGTCTTTCCTTTCTCTCTTCTTAATCCCTCACAGACTCACTTTCATCCACTCACCGCTAGCTAGCTGCTGTGTGTCTCTCTCTCTGTATACTTCAGAAAACTGTAAACCATTTACCAACCAACGCATACAGAAGCAATAAGGAAACAAAAAGGGATCCCCCACTTACCACTCCCTCTCCATCTCTTCTCGGCCCTTCTCTCTTCTTTCTACCCAGCAGACGAACCCAATCGAAGTTCGTTTTCACTTGGAACGATGGGGGAAAACAGAGAGGCGCACCGCCGACTACATGCATGCTCGTTTTGTTGACTGGCGGCGATTGGAGGGGCGATTGGAGGCGCGGCGATGGCGGACTGTTGTCTGGCGCGGCGAATCGGCGATGGCGGACTGTTGTCTGGCGGCGATTGGAATTTGGAGGGGCGATTGAAGGGAGGCGGCGACCGGCAAGCCGATTGGAGGGAGGCGGCGACCGGCGAGTCGATTCCAGGCTGTGGGAGTGGCGACGGTTCGACGAGACTCGAGAGGTCTGAGGGAGGATGGAGGCTGTGCGATGAGAGGGAGTGGGAGGCTATGTGACGACGAGAGGGTCTCTAGGGTTGGGATGGGTCGTATTTCAGATAGGCAAAACTGCGTCGTAGGGTCGATCGGTTAGGAACGATTAACCGGCGTCGGTTTATCGGCTAACCGCGGCACCAATAACCAATTCCGACCACCGACCGATGCGTGTTATTTTCGGTTTTCGGTTAGCCGCTAACCGGCGGTTAACGGTTAGACCGGCCGGTTAGCCGCTAACCGGCAACCGTCGGCTAACCGGCAACCGAAATGACAGCCCTACTTTCCCAACAATTTTATTCTGGATTAGAGGAGGAAAAAATTGGAATGGCAAACAGAAACGGCATCTGGGATCCGCGTGGACAAGGGAAGGCTGGCTTGCCACATTTGGCATCTTCGATGGATTGCCAAGTGCTTAGTGCTTCACACATCGGCCTTGTTTTCTCCGCATTTCCTGGAGACCAACGACCAACAAGAGTTTCGAAATAAAATAAAAATTACAGCGATGAGAAACCAAAGCAAGAAAAGTGGACAGGTGGGGTTCGATCAAACCGATGAGCAACCACCCTTTTTAAAGCTTCAAAGAATGACTGGCTATGACTGTTCCTACTGCCAGATCGCCAAAGTTCGTTCCTTTTCCATCTTCTTCGTCGCCATTTTCCCAATTCAGTAGAGACAACGAAAGCGGGGTTGTTCTCTCCCTTTTGCAATAGATCTCTACTCTAATGGCAGTTCTTTCACCAGCTTCATTTGTCACCAAAGGCCCTTCCTCTTCCAGTTCCTCTTCCTCACCCTTTCCTGCCAGAGCTTCATTCCTGAGAGCCCAATCTGTAATTCATCTCTCTCGCTCTCAACCCCCTTTCTTGGCTGCTGCTGTTTTCTGTTTGTAAGTATGATTTTCGTGTTCCAGATTGTTGACTCTGTTGTGCTTGATTGATTTGTTTTGGGCACAGATTTCTGGTTCTGAGCAGACCAATTTGAGATCGTCATCTGCTTCCAAGTAAGTTTGGTCTGCAATTGGCAAGTGTGATCACTAATTCCCTGCAATCTAAGATTGAGCTCTGCTTGTATGTGCGTATGATTCACCTGCTAGTTACGTCGTGGTTGAGGGTTCTCTTGATTAATGGAGTCTGAGTCTTCCCAAATGGCTTCATTACGGTTGTTTGCCCAATTCAAGCTCCAAGTGCTGAATGTGTTCATTGTATTTCGGTCCCTCCTTTTCTGCAGAATGATATGGTTACAATTGCCCATCAGCACTGGTGTTGGTGAAAATCTGAGGTTCTTGTCTCTTAAGAATTAATGGAACACGCCTAACTTTGCTGGTGATTTTCATGTCTAGGATATAAGTTTTAACTCGTACACTATTCGGAGAAGCAACACAGAATTCTCGTTTAGAATATTACTAGCTGAAAGAGATAAGAAGTCGCTGGTTGATGTATAGAATTTCCTTTTTCATATGCTTGTCTCTTCTTCGCAAGTTGCTACATTACTTTATTGTTGTGGAATGAACTTGCTGCTATGTTTCAGGAGCATGTCAGAGTTCAAATTGAAAGTTGCAAAGAACTCCACGGGGATGACTAAGGAACGTGAAATTGACGATACAGCGACTCTTACCAGTAAAAATTTATTTGATGGTCTGAAAGAACGATTCCTGAGTTTCAAGAAGCATACATATTTGTAAGCATTATTCAACTTGTGTACATATGCTTTGGATTCATTGATACGACATTTTGAGTTGCTAACAATGGGAATCATTGAACAGAGAGAACATTGAACATTATGAAAGTCTTGCCAAGGGTCAAGCACCTAAGGTAAAGACTGTTGCAGCTTCTAGATTTAATTAAATTAAGGTTACCAAATTGGAACTTTAAAATTCCAACTTTCGTTCACATTGTGGAACACAGGTTATGGTGATCGCCTGTGGAGACTCCAGGGTTTGTCCCTCTAACATTCTGGGATTTCAGCCTGGGGAAGCTTTTGTAGTCCGTAATGTGGCAAATCTGGTACCCCATTTTGAGGTATATCCTTTACCCAAATTCATAACCCAGCTCTATCATAGTTCAGAGATCATGGAGCCTAAGCCCAATGTCCTCAGTTTCAGATATTATTCTGTCAGTTCCCTTTTAATCATGCTTTCTATATGCAGAGTGGTCCATCTGAGACTAAGGCAGCGTTGGAATTTGCTGTAAACGTTCTCAAGGTAACTAAGCATTGTGCTTCTGACATAATCTGTCTCTAAGGGTCTGCATTGAACCTTCCTATTTGAACCTTACACATATTGAACGTGAAGAAGTTACATTCACGTGAGAACTTGATTGGAGTGCAAGGAACGTGCACTGTGAGAAGAAAATTGAAGAAGAATATATCGAGGAGACCAGTAATGGAGAAACGTAGTAATGTGCATGCACTCTTTGTAGAATTTTAAGAGTGTCGTACCTAGCCAAGGTCATCCATTAGTTTTACAGTCATAAAAAACCTTGTTTGTCGTATGGCCAATATATAACTTGGTAGAATTTTAAGAGCATCATACCTAGCAATATTGCATTCACTCTTTGTGGGTAAAACATGTAGAATCAAACAGACTTTTGGGCTGACGAAGAGGTTATGGTCCTGAAATTATATGTCTGTATGCAAGTTCTTTAGTATTTCTCCCTGTTGCAGGTTCAGAACATCTTAGTTGTTGGCCACAGTCGATGTGGAGGTATCCGTGCTCTAATGAGTATGCATGATGATGTTGAAACAAGGTATGAACTACTGTACACTTTGTATCGCTTTTAATTCCTTCACTTGTCCTTCATGCAACCAGATATGCCAATTAGGTGATATACAGTGGCTCCCCTCTAACTTCCTAACTCAATTTTCACCTTCCTTTTTTTTGGGTTTTTCAGTAGCTTCATTGGTAGTTGGGTTTCTGTTGGAATGAATGCACGCAAAAGAACAAAGGCCGATGCTTCTAATCTCAACTTCGATCAGCAATGTAGACATTGTGAAAAGGTAAATTTCACTATGCGTAATGAGCTGCCCGTTCAGTTACTAACTGCTCTTGTATTTACCTACACATTCTTGTTGTTGATTATTGTTTGTAGCTTCCTGCTCATGTCCATTGTAACACCACCTTTACAGATCGAGTTTCATCTAAGTTTCAGTTTTAGAACCTGAAAATCGCTGTCGTGATCCCCATCTATTACTGCATAGAGAAAGTGCACACTTGAAAATCTGCATTCATCGCCAGGCTCGTCTATTACAAAAAGGGCTTCATGTTCTCAAGTTACTGTCATCATACTTGATTGTTATTCCTTATTTTCCTCTAATAGTAATGAATAAATCTGCAGAATTGGTCATTCTCGGATTTCGCATAAAAGTTCCGGGATTGATTTATGTGATATTGTCATGGTTTTTGCAGGAATCAGTAAGCTGTACATTGACAAATCTTCTAACTTATCCATGGATAGAAGAGAAAGCGAAGGGTGGAGAACTCTCCATCCATGGTGGCTATTATGATTTCGTAGACTGTACATTTGAGAGGTGGACACTGGACTACAAGGAAGATGGTGAAGTTTCTGTAAAGGATCGGTCCTTCTGGTGCTAAATCTCTACCTTTCGGCTGCAACAGCCATGCTGGTTTGCCTGTGTGTGTTTCCTTGCTTCTGCTCTAAAGTCTGTCTTAGGGTTGTCTACAAAACGTCCAGACCTTGTTCTGTCTATATTGAACTCACCGACATCACAGTGTTGTATGTAAGTTTGGCACTCCAATCTTGATTTGAAATTTTTTCGCAACTCTTTCTGTAAAATAAACCGTTAAAGCAACTTATTTTCCTTGTGGATGAGATAGCATGCATATGAATCAACAGTTTAGTCCTATATACTTGTATGACATGAAAGCCAAATGGTAAAGCTCGTTAAATAGTCTGCACACCTTTTACTCTCTTTGTAAATATGGCAAATAATCACTTTTCACTCTCTATCCATTGGCTCCTAAAAACGTTGAGTGATTGTTGAAAGTTGGTGGTCGCTCCCATCGGCTAATTAGCATAAATGGTCACAAACATTTGCACTTAGTACAAAACAGTCATAAACCTTTAATTTGTAACCATTTGATAACAAATTTTTTGACTTAGAACAAAACGGTCACAAATTAAACAGTGTGACCATTTCATACCAGTTCAAACTTTTGTTACCGTTTCGTTGCAAATTAGACTTTTGGTGACCGTTTTGTACAAAATAAGTTCAAAAGTTTGAACGATCAAATCACTGTTACAATTCGCTCTAGTTGTATGGTGGTTTTGTTGATGTATGTGAATGATATGATCGTCATAGTTGAAAAAACTCTGTCTACTTTCTTACTTTCTTGGTATCGAAATTGAAAGGTCAACTGAGGACATTCTTATTCGGCAAAGCAAATATGTCGATGAACACATGACCCGACATCTTATATGTCGTTCAAGTGATTAGTGTCATATACTTAACGAACAAACTACCGACCTCATAACATGACAAACATTTAATTTGTAACGATTCGGTAACAAACCTTTGCACTTAAAACAAAACGGTCACAAATTAAATAGCAGTGACCATTTTATACAATTTCAAAGTTTTGTTACCGTATTGTTACAAATTAAAAGTTTGTGACCGTTTTGTACTAAGTGCAAAGGTTTGTTACCATTTATGCTAATTACCCCGCTCCGATAAGTGCTCAAGAGCAACTGAATCGAAAAACGAGAGTAACTCGGCCAGGAGATGTCTATAACCAGCATTCCAAGCCAACTGAATGCCTTTCGCTCTACCTCTCGACTTTGCCTGTGTAATGGAAACTACCCAGGTTCATAGCGAACGCGCTTGAGCAATTTCATGCATGATCTCTGACTACCCCTCCCTCCAACCCCCAACTGCGACCTAACTTGTAGAAGACTGCATTGGGTGAGGCTCCGGATAGTATAACAACACCTCAAGTGTTGTTATACTAACAACAAGGGTATAAGAGTAAAATACCAATAAATAAATAAATAAACAAAATTTAAATACCTAAACGTGTTTTATATCCCTGTCTCTCCAGCAACAGCGGCGGCCGAATCTGTACCTCCGAGCAACAATTTTCTCCGGCCCAATTCTCTGCCATCGCCATGCCAATCCGCATCTCTCCCGTCGCCGGCGCCATCAGGAGCAAAACGCTTCGACGCGGCCTTCCTGGGCGGCGGCGCCGTCCGCTCAGTTGAAAATCTCCTTCGCGGTCACGTCTCTCCACCTCGTTCTTCTTCATCGACAGCAAATCGTGGCTGAGATGGCAGTAGTCTCCGAACAAGCTCTCTCTTCTTCCAATCCCATCCATCGAGGTCGATTCGGAAAAAATCGTCCTCCGATTGAGGAGCGTCGCGACGGTGGAGCGAAGGCGGAGGGGGAGGAAGATGGCTACCTTTATGATCGTAGGGGTAATCACGATCTCCCCGTGGTTGAGTTGAGAATGGGGGGATATGGAATCGAGAAGACGGGGATTACAACTCTGCAATTTTTCAGTCCAGGGTTTTGTGGCAGTTGAGAACGATTGGTGGAAGATGAGGCCGATGCAGATGGATTTCTTCGCGGAGATGGAAGAGCAAGGGTCGACGGTGGCGATGGACGTCGACGACGTTGACCCGCTCGAAATGTTCAGCGAAAGCATGATGAACGAGAGCAAGCTCGCCGACGCCGATTTCTTCAACAATTTCGAGGATGACTTCGACGACTCCGACATCAACTGAACGCGATTCGACTCCTCCCATGGCCGCCGAAAGCTTCTGCGTCTCTGTTTCCGCTCTCTCAGTTAGCTTCTCCGCCTCTCCTTCTAGCGATTATAATTTTAGATAGATGTCAAGGGTTTGTTGCTGAACATTGCAGTGTACTGTTTATTGAATATATATATATATGAGTATTGTAGATTTGGATTCCCGTGGTTGAGTTGAGAATGGGGGGATATGGTGGAATCGAAGGAGAGGGTCTTGTAGTGTTGGGCTCTGTTGTTGTTTAATGAAATGAAGATTAAGGGGTTTGAGTTTGATTCAGATTGCTCTCGATTTATGCTAACCTTGGTAAGCTTGAGGAGGCTCTGGACGTCTACAAGGAGATGCAAACATTTGGATTTGGACGAGATGTTGTTACTTATAATGCACTCATAAACCTGCCATTCACAAACACGGTAAAACAATCCACAAAAAACGTATCAGAAACCTCCCAATCCATACTACAAATCCCGTAAAACAAACCAAAAACCCCACAAAGCATACCATAAATATTCCGAAAGCACACCAGAAACCTCATAATACAAACTACAAACAAGATAAAGCAAACCACAAACCTCCTATTGCAGACCACAAATATATTAAAACAAACCAGAAACCCCACAAATCAAACCATAAAATTTTCGAAAGCACACCATAAACTTCTTAATGCAAACCAGAAACACAATAAAACAAACTAGAAATCTCTTAATGCATACCACAAATCCCGTAAAACAAACCACAAACCTCACAAAGCAAACCACAATATTTGCGAAAGCACACCAGAAATCTCCTAATGCAAACTACAAACACAGTAAATCAAACCACGAAAAAACAAACCATTAACGTCCTAATGCAGACCACAAATATATTAAAACAAACCAGAAACCCCTCAATGCAAAACACAAAGTTTTTTAAAGCAAACCAGAAACTTCTCAATGCAAACCACAAACACGATAAAGCAAACCAAAAACTTCTCAATGCAAACCACAAACGCGATAAAGCAAACCACAAAAGATATACAAAAATGTGAGAAACCAAACCATAAATCTCACAATGCAGACCATAACATCCGGTGGTCGTTGGCCGTTGACCGGTCAACGAAGATCGTTGACCAAACGCCGATGACCGTCAGTGAGTAGATTCCGGCGCCGATAGGCATATTCCGGCCCCGATGACTAGATTCCGACGCCGGTAAGCATATTCCGATCACGGTGAGCATATTCCGACGACGGTGGCATATTCCGATGAGAAAATAGCATATTCCGGCGACGAAAAGCATATTCCGGTGATCGGCGACCATTTTCCGGCGACCGGTGACAGAATTCCAGCGACCAAAATTTTGGGCCGAAAAAATAAAATAAAAAAATATTTTTTTATTTTTTTATTTTTTTTATTTTTTATTATTATTTAAACATATTTTTCATAATGACAATTATACCCCTGCTTTGATTTTACACTAGGTCAACTCATCTAATAAAAAGTCATCACAACCCTAGCTTCCTATTGGTTGGAGACTAGTGTTGTTATAATAACAACACAAGAAGTGTTGTCATAGTATCTAGTCCCATTGGGTGATACGAGTTGGGAGAGTTACAATTTGTCCAATGTGCAATTATTAGAGTTTATGTATGTTTTTGTACTTTTTATGTCCTTTGGATTTTTTTGCTATTTTTCAACACAAGCAAGCCTATAAAAAATATAGAAGGAAGATGGAAAACAATGGAGCCATGTCCACAGGGACGGAGCCAGAATTCTTAATTTGGGGATCCGAAATTTTTTTCTAACATACTTATAAAGAAAAAACATTACATATAAAGTGTTCACAAAATTTTGAATATCTAACCCACTTAAATTTGTGCAAAATTATAAAAATCATGACTTATTTCTTTTAAACACTTGATAAAATTCATTGTTATAAGAACCGAACCGGATCAACGGCCGAGCTAGTAGAATCGTCAAACCAGTTACGATAGCGGTCTGGTTCATTGCTTGAACGGTTATTGAATGGACCAAACGGTTTTTCCCGGTTCAACATAAAATCAGATGAACCAACAGGTTTAACTAGTCCACTGGTTCACTATTTTAACAAAAAAAAATGCTTTAACATAAACTAAGACCATCAAATCATAATTATTAATTTTATATATACTTCCACAACCTTATTATCGACTTTACATTGTCTACTACTGACTAGAACCGTAATTTTTAATTTGAATTAAAAAATGTGGTTTCTTTTGTGAGATGGTTGGAATTATTTATTAGATATTTTGGTGATGATATGAATTTTAACTTGTTTATGGTTAATGATAATTCCATTGTTAAATTAGTGTAATATACAAGTCTTATATGTTATATAGCAGGAACGGTTCACCAACGGTTTTGTAACGGTTAATCGTTGAATTCTAAACCACTAAATTTTCCGGTTCAGCCTCCAGTCCGGTTCCGAAAACAGAGATAAAATTTAAAAACCATGTGTTAAGAACCATGTGTTTCGTACATCTTAAATTTACCAATTTAAAAACTAACGAATTTGGATACGATTTAATAGTAAAATAAAGCTGTTGATATTTAAAATTTATAGGTATGGAGATTATAACTTTTTAAGATGTATGCAAAGGAACCTGCAAAGAAATGATAAAAAATTGAAAAATACAAGAGATTTTTAATATAAACTAAAATAAGCATAATAATAAAAAGCACGAAACACTTCCTACGTTATGTGCTTAGGTTTCCTGGTATTTTAGAAACTCGGGAGAGAAAGACAGTAAATACATGTAGAACGTTAATATTTGGAGGAAAAAAAAGATGTCTAGAATCGGAACTATAATCCATGACTATCGTCTTGATCTATGGACGACCATATCCTCAAGCAGGTCTAGAGCGCAAACGCTGGGCGGGTCGCCAAATCCGAGGAGTGAGGTGGCGAATAGTGCTCAATCTCTTAATTTAATTTTGATCAGCCTAAGCCTAACCAAAGAAATTGACCAAAAAAAACTCAAAATTGATGTAAAACTAAAGTAAAGTTTAAATACTTTATGTGCTTAGGTTTCCTGGTATTTTAGAAACTCAGGAGAGAAAGACAGTAAATACATGTAGAACGTTAATATTTGGAGAGAAAAAAAA